TGTCCGGCCACAGACGCGAGAAAGGAAAAGCAGGTACCAAAGGCAAATCAAGCAGTAGTCAAAGGAAAGGCAGCCTCTTTGGTGTCCCTCTCTGCATTCAGGCAGGGGAGAAGATGAAAGGCTCTGCATACGCTTCAGCAGCCTTCTCTTTTCTTGTTCCAGGTATAGGTTTGCCCCCCGAGGAGCAGAGGCGCAGGGATGCTGTGACTACTTACTCTTGTTTGTTTATGTTCATTCTGAAGAGACGTGAGCAGAGCTGCCTGGGCTGCTTACGGCAAAGGAAATGGATCTCAGGGGAACAATTGATTCTGCTTGGCTATTTCTGAGCCAGGTGAAACCATAAAATGAACCTGTGTCCTCCCCGTTGTTTAAAAAGGGTGTATTTATTTATTTATTTCGCATTTTAATGCACCACTGACAATTTATGGTGTGAGCCTTAATGAATTTTTAATAGAGAATTGATAGAAGAAAGGTGTATAACATGGGAGATTCATAGAAAAAGTTATCAAAATTGAAAAAGGAAGAAAAAGACAGAGAGCTGATATTTTAATCATCTGCTCCCTGCCTGCATTGTGATCCCAGAGACATGACGATTGAGTGCCAGAAGGTGAATCTGGTTGGGAATGAAGTGATTCCAGTCTCGTGTTAGAGGTGAGAAATGAGACAGTGCTTCGGTATGCTCGCAGTTTGAATAATCTCGGTTGCTGTTTGCAACATGAAGCAGAGTTTATTGGAATTAAGACAATCTGCAGAGCCATGACCCAATGTGTTAGAGAGGAACAGTAGTAAAAAATAATAACAAATAACATACAGTATATAAAATATAAATAATAGAAAGAAGAAATAGTAGAAGTAAATATGATAAACATTGAAAGGTTTGAGCTCCCCCTCCCTTAATCCTGCCCCTTTAAGATGTTAGACAGTTCAGATTCAAACAAAGGACCAAATGCGTTTGTATCCTGCTGATGTATCTGGCAGGGCACTGTTGGACCTTTGGGTGGGCGTGCGGACAGGGTGACGCTTTTCAGTTAGGCCACTGCTGGTGAGCGGTTATGCCCAACTTCATTTTGCGAAGAGGAGCGGCACTCGAGGAGCACGTTAACACCTTCCAAACGACGCCCTGGGACCCTCAGTAATGCTTTTCTCCCCCTTTAGTGAATCCTGGCAATCTATTAATGGTGCTGCCGAAGAGCAGCGTCAAGGGAACAAAGCAATCAGTGCCACCATCTGCTGTGAGCAGGTTGGCCATGTTGAAGGGAATGCCTGTTACTCTCCTTTTTGGGGCTGACCCCTTTGAGCGCGCTTGCGTCCACATGTCCCAGAAATAAGAGCGATCAGGGTGTTAGACTGATGGATGGAGAGAGGGGAGGTTTGTTTGGAGGTAGGAAAGGGGTTGTCTTAGTGCTTGGATCTCTAGAGAACGAGTCGAAGGACAGTTTTCCTATGGAAAGCGAGACATTAGGACGCTGAGAGAGATAGTGTAAAGCTAAATACATTTTCTAAATGAAGTTTCTTATGTCTGCAGTGTTGTACTACTTTCTGCTTTCTGGATGAAGATCTGATTGTTTCATTTGTAGACGCCGTAACCTTTCCCTAACGGCAGACAGCAGTATTTTACCCAGTCAGCTTCACAGCGAGCAGGGGAGCGCTCTGACTTGGCTTGTGCACGCACATCCCGTCTGTATCTGGTCAGAGTTTCTGACCATTAAACACACCAGAAGTGGTGGTCACTAGCCAGTTTCACAGGCTGTGGTTTTCTAACCGGAGAGGTTCAGGAGGAAGTCTGTTCCTCCAGACAACGGATGTGCAGCGTCTTTTCAAAATCAGACTGGATTCTTAGTATGACTGGTCTCTTGTAAAATTCTTGGTCTATGTGGGGTTGGATTTTTTTCCTATGTTAGTTCATAATATCTGGTTCTGAATGACTAAAGAGAAAATTGTCTTCCCCCTCCCCCCGAATCTGGCTCATTTAGCAACAGAAGGGGAGTAAATGTATCTGCTCTTTATACAGTGCATCCTGAGAGATTGTCCAGCTGCTCAGTGATGCTCTGCAGTGTTTTCCTGCTGGATGCCTGTTCAGGGAAGCTGCATGTTTTGTGTAATGAGTACTTGATTTCTGCCATGTGAGACATGGCACCTCACACAGTAATGTTCCTTGTTTCCTACATGGGCACATGACCTGTGTTTAATACGACTCCCTCCCTGACAGCAGCTCTCATAAGAAAAAAAGAAAGGGAAAAAAAAATCAAACACTGGAGGCTTATTTGTTTTGTTTAATGATTTGAAAATGTTTGCTGGAAGAAATATTGATGTAGCAATGATGTGTGCACATTACTTATATCAGGGAACAACTGTCAAGCTCAAACCTCACCATGAGGGCAGCTGAGCAGTGGAACAGGTTGCCCAGGGAGGCTGTGCTGTCTTGTTCTTGGGAGTTTTTAAGACCAGACTGCATAAAACCCGGAGTAACCTGGTCTGACCTCAGAGCTGACCCCGTCTTGAGCAGGAGGTTGGGACTTGATGACCTCCTGAGGTCCTTTACTACCAGAATTTTCCTGTGATCCTATTAGGTTCTGAGCAGCTTTGTAGAGGGAAGAAACAGGTCTTCTCCCCACCACCACTTCCTATGGAAATTGATCCCTAACAAAGGTAGATACCAGTTAGCCACAGAGTCTTATGCTGCAAGGGTGGTAACACTGAGCCTGACTCATGACTCCCGTGGCATGGCTGTTCAGTCCAATTCCTAGCAGAAAAGCCACTAAAGTCACCATTGCAGAAGCAGTGAGTGAGTGGTGATCACATGGATGCTGAGGCCAAGGACTGAAGGGGCCAGATATCTGTAGATTACTTTCTACTGCAGTTGAAAGATGCTGATTTGTATTACAGGGCATTGGCTGTGCTGCGCCGCCAACACAGAGGAATAGACCAATTAATTACTTGAATTCATGCCTTGCATCTTTTTCAAGCCCTAGATTAATGCAGGCAAAGCAAGGAGCGCAGAGTAGTTGACATTTAATGAAATAATTTTTAGTGTTTGGAGGAGTGCTTTATGATCATCTACTATGGTGACAGATGTACTAAAAAGCCATAAATAGATTGCATAGATAAAAACATTATTACTTAGATTATAGTACTCCAAAGATGAGACTTGTTTGTCTTACCTGTCTGTAAATCATGCAGCACGCATTCAGTTCCATGTAGGCAGCAGCTTTTTGTAGTAAAAGCCTCACAAAATTATTTTGAAAAAGAACATCCCTGTTTTTTGAATGTCTGGAAAAAGGCATAGAAGAGTGAATCCATGTTAAATAATGGAGGTAGAAGAGTTCTAGCGAGAAGAAACACCCATCTTTGGTATCCGTTTGACTCTGTCATGAAGAAGCAATGCTGAGTGTGAAATGAATCCTCTCAATATGGGGCAGTCAGTGTCATCCTTAGTGGGACTGGATGCAGTGAACGTCTTCTGCACTGCTTATGCTCATGCCAAGTACCTTTTTTTTCTTTTTTTTTTTCCTCGCAGCAAAGAAAACTTGTGCCGAGTCGGATTTCACTTGTGACAACGGCCACTGCATCCCAGCCAGGTGGAAATGTGATGGTGAAGAAGAATGTCCAGATGGGTCAGATGAATCTGAAGCAGCATGCAGTGAGTAGCACGGAGAAGTGGTGTTTCGCAGACGTGTCATCTTATGAAAGCATAGAGAAATAGGAGGTGTTGTTCCCAACACTTCCAGGGTGATCTGTCAACTTTTGCTTCGTTAGGACAGAAATTAAAGACACAAAAGATTCAGGTCGCTCAAATCAGATGGTTGCCAAACTTTCAAATGTACCAGTACTCCAGACTGGTGCAGGCAGCACTACCTAGTGTGTATTTCTGTCTGTAAGGGAAATGAAAACGTCTCTAGCTCGGTTACATTTTATCTGGTTGTAGGGCTTGTGATCAGCAGCAGCGCACAAAGATTCACACTCACCTGGGATCAGGCCTTTGGAAACTCAGATTTGCAGGGAGCGGTTCTGTCACTACAGAGGAACTTAACAATGTTAGAGCATTGCTCAATTGCTTTATTTTATTTTTGCCTTCGAGAACAAATGAGGAAAAAAGTAGCAGATGAAAGATAAGCAACGTAAAATAACCAAAGCTGAGAGTAAGTATGACAGATGTTAACTGCAGGTAACACCTTTTAAAAACCCATTGATTCAGTCAGTGAAAGGAGATGCTTGATTTTTGTGTAGTGCATTTTATCTTGTACTTTTGACTCTCTGAGGAGATCCATTCACGCTCCGTTGTTATAGAACTGTGAAGGGTTGTCTAATGTGGAGCTGAAGGGAGTCCCAGGGATATTTTAATGAAAACTAACTAATATGTAGGCTTCTATCTGGGTGCTTGCTTATGTCTGCAGATTTGTTCTTGGACAAACCCAGAAGCTAGTACAAGCCATTCTATTGAATTTCCAGTCATGTACTTCACAATTATATTCTCATGAGTCAGAAGCAGTATTGGAGGAAGAGGTATTTTATCGGATTTCATCAGAATGGGACACATGGAGGACTTAAAAATTAACCACACTTTTATTTTTAAGCCTAGTACCAGTCGTACTTTCTCCCTAATTAAGAAAGATGAATGCACTTCTCTGACATAAAACGAATGGAATATTTTTTGCAGCCGTATGTGGGCTACAGAAAAAATTCCTTCAGTAACTACATTAACATATTTATGTACTGTATATGTTGGTGTTTCACCTTGCATCCTCCTTAGTCAAAAGCCATCTTACTAATGTTGCTTCCGCTACCTGATTGTCTGGAGGGGGGCTGAATAAATAAGCAGCTCCGTTCCCTGCTGTCTCTCTGTAAATCTCCTGTCAGAGGCCATAGCATGGATTGTGTATAGGCCATGCAGTGCTAAGATCCCTGACAATTTCTCTTAATTGTCTTCCATTTCTTTTCTAGCCATTTCACCTGCCATTTTTACCGTACTTATTTCATTCTCTGGGGAAATCAGCCTTAAAACTTAAGTATAGCAGAAGAGACTTGACCTGAGCCTCTGATAGTTACAGTGCAAGACTGCTCTCCTCAGAGGAGAGTAATTTGTTCAGTTTTGTGTGATATTTCTGCTTGAAACCATCGAAGAGACTGAAGTCTGCATTTCTGTGGTGGTTCTTCTGTTCAGAAAAGTAGATGGCCCTTGAAATGTCTCCCTGGTGCTAATGGGATTGGGCCAGTGTCACCTCCAGACAGGGAGAAGCTTGTTCCCATTCTGCAGTGTATGCCTAGCGGGTCAATCAGGAATTCCTTCTGAAGCTAGTAGTGCCTGTATGGACCAATCCTTAATTTCATTTTTAGATACAAGGGCTTTGAAACCAGGTCAAGAACTATGGCATATAACTATGCCGTATTTTATCTGTTTATAGCTGTCTCAGGCAGATTTACCAGGCTTTGCCTCAGCATAAGATATTTAGATTTTGTTACGAGTTTTAACCAAAATAGATCAATTTTTGTGTGATGGATGCATGAACTTGTGTCTCAACATTCACAGGATACTCGATACAAGCCTGTGTCTGACTTTCAGCTAGCTCTCAACAGAAGTTTCTGTCTGTACCAGTTAAAAGTTTGCCTTTGAATCTTAAAAATGTCTGCAGCTAGAATTGTGGAAGTTTTCTTGTTTTATAGGATTATTCAGGTCTGAAGTTCACGCTTAATCAGATGAAGATCAAGTAGTTTTAATCTTATGACTGTTGATAGCTATAGGCTTTAATTTGCACAGTAAGGACATTCTTTCCAGATGTTTTGTATCCTTGTCAAAGTATTTGTCATCTCAAAAGCTGATCCGATCTGCTCTGTGAGGAAACAGGCATTACCAGGTTGATTCTAAGCACAGTGCTGGTTGTGGGGTTATTTCACATATATTTGCGGGTCTTCCTACCACCGTTGGTCAAGACAGCAGTGAGTTAGAAACCTGGTGGACTATTAAACAAAAAAATGGAGCGTGAGGCTTTGCTCTTAATTTGTGCCCTTCACATAAAAGGCCTAGCTTTTTGTGCATGTGAACGTTATTTAAGGGCGAAGAAGAGGCTGCAATGACAGCCAGAAAATGTACTGAGAGGCAGAATGTGTAGTTGGACATTCCTGTGTGGTCCCTCCCTCCAGTCCCATTTTCTTTCTCACTGATGAAAGCACGGCTGAACGTTCTCCCTGTGGCTGAGGAGCGGCTGCAGGCCCCCGTGGCTCTCGGCTTTTCCTGCTTAGAAATGCAGCACAGCCCTTTGGAGGAGTCTGGAGCTTTGGAGTTTCCCTAGGGAAGGGGCAGGTTGGGAAATGGAGATGTCTCACCTCTGGCAAGACCAAACTGCTTTATAAAAGCGATTGCTTTCAGACAGGCCACATAATTGCCAGCACCTCTGCTAGGATCCAGGGTTTAGTGATTAGTGCAACACTGAGATATTGTCCATAGCCCATTTGAGCTAGGGAGGTTAAAAGTGTTGATACTGCTGACTGTTGCATTTTAGGAGTATTTCTAGCTTAGAATGTGATCAGAACAGGGCAGCTCCTCTCAGCATCTAGCCACCTGCTAAACAGCTTTTTATTTTCTGAATGCTTTTGTGGTGGGGTTTTTTCATACATTTTGTGCTCTCTGATTGATAGTTAGAGATGTTGTGTCTCCGTCACTAATGCTCAGTTAAAGATAAAAACTTGTGGTTGTTCTGTTTTAGGTAACCCCCTTCCAAAACCAAAAGAGTACGTTCCTTTTTCTGTTTCCCAGATCATTGAAGTTGCTCAGCTTTGTACTTAACCGTATCCTCTAGGGATGCTGCCCTTCCCCAGGTCTTCAGGACAGCGTGACCTGTCTTGTGTCGGATAGGTAAGATGGCATCACAGCTGGCCTGGCTTCTGTTGGACCTGTGATGTCTAGGGCTTCTTCTGCTATCCATGCAATTGGATAAACTGCATTGTCTTCAGACTACTGAATGTGGCTGGGAGTGGTAAGAGTAAGGAGATCTTTTTGAGTCCCATTTAATTCTCAACGATAGGACTTCTCCCCATTGTGGGTTTTGGTGTTAGTTGAAGGTCAATTATTTTCTAGCATGGGCTGATTTTGGAAGATGGTTATCCAGGCTTTTGGTTTGAAATGGACCTTTACGAATAAGAAACTGCTTATATTTCTTCATTTTTCTTAAAGCCAGATCCTTAACCTAAACATACTCTCACATCTATAGGTTTGTCCAAGTGAATTATTCATGTAACATGTGAGTGTCGCTCGCCACTAAACCTCAGTGTTCTGCCATCTGTCAGCATTTCAGTGCTGTTATCTGGCTGCTGAATTTATTTTGTCTCATTTCGTTTATATGAAGGTTTCAAAAAAATGTGTCCCCCTTTTCTGAAGCTATCTATTCAGGGGCATCCTGTGGGCTGGATCTGTTCTCTCTGAAGTCATCATTAGAAATATTGTCAGTTGGGGGGTGAGATGTGTTTTATTTTATTTTTTGTTTCTGTGTGGAAGCAGAATGAGCCCCTAAATCAAGAGAAGCAAAATGATGTGAACTCAGAAATTCATGCTGTCTGCAAGGGGCAGAAGGGACTGAGCTGACAGTATTAGAAGTTGTGTTGACTGAGGTTGGAGGAGGGGGGAGAGGGAAGAGGAATTTAATATTGAAGAGAAGAAAGTTATTTTGAGGAAAGTACTTAATAAATGAAAAGAAATGGGGTGGTGGGTGAGAGGGAAGAAAGAAACACCATTTAGCTGTGCTACAGCAGTGCTCCTTGTGGGGAAGGGGAAGAGCTGGTACTTGGGCATGGCAACATCCAGCCTCGTCTTCCTTGACGAGGAAGCAGCCTTTTTTTAGACTCAGCAATTGCCTGAATTAGGCCTCTGTTCAGGAAAGGTTGGCTGCTTGTGTGTACAGCAAGTGAACCGCTTTGGCCTTGCAGGACACACGTCAAGAAAATAGCCAGGGGAGAAGCAGGGCTGCTTCTCCCTTCCTGCTGTGAGGGAGAGCCTGGAGCGGGTACAGAACTGCCGTCGCTGGAGTGCTCTGAAATGATAATGGATTTCATCTTCATCGTGCCGGCTTGTTAGTATGCAAGGAGCTCCCCACAAATCGTTAAAAAGGATAGCAGAGTGTCTGGAAGTAGTGGGAGTCGAGTTAGGGCCTCTGTCAGCCTGCTGCCTGCAACCCCCACGTACCTCACCAGCAGCTGTTTTGAGATACAGAAAATATTTTTGACCTCAGAGTAGGCTCAAATGCAGAGGAGCTTAGAGTTGTTTGCTGCAAGGTTATACAGCAGCATGGCTCTGCCAGCTGCACGGAGGTCTTTCATAGCCTACACGTACTTTTTTCCCAATGCAAAGCCCACCATGGCCAGAGCCCCAGACTGATTTTTCATTGCTCTTCCTAAAAGCAACTCATCGTGACTTGGTGACCACCCTGGAGCTGTGGTGCAGCCGCTGCTGATGCACACAGGCCTTGCTTATGCATATGAAATGATTCCTCACTATTTTCCTGGCTAGTTTCTTGAAGCTGAGGGAGGGGGAAGGGAAGTAATTTTTCCTACTGAGCTAACAGAGACCTCCAGCAAAATGAATGTTATCCACCTAATGCTGTTCCAGCGCAGGTACTGAATCGTTCTGCTTTTTGACAAGAGAAAAAATTA